GGTTCGATTCCTGTCGGGGACTCAGAATTTTTCTTTGTCCCACGCTCGAGTCATGTTGATTAATTCACCTTCACATTTCACTACCGAGCTTAAAATTCATCATCTTTATTAACTTAATGTGATTAGTCAGTAAAAATTCAAACAAGAACTGATTATAGTCTTATTACCAGTCCATTAGGGTGCCGTGTGCTCGCTTGTTCCCAAATCTTTTCAAATGCATTGGTTGTCATCTCAACTCCAATTCCATCAAAGATTCTTCTTATCTGTATATCAATGCAAGTAATGACTGTGATGAATTAAACCACTTCTAAATAGAATACCTTTAAAGAGTAAATGTTTACTGGTGTTAATAAATAGTAATTTTTATTAATTTACTTAAAGAAAGGAATCGTGCAGTGATTTAATCTTTTATACAAGTGTGTTTTGATGTATACAAACCTCATACTGATCTCTGGGTTGAAAGAAGTCCTTCTCGTAGACTCCACGGTTACTGTAAATCGATGGGTTAATCAAGCCATAGGCATCAGATTCATCACCATAGTTCTGTAAACAAATGGTTACAATACTGAATATTAAATAAATAAAAAAATAACGAAATAATTTTGATTAATAATTATTGTTGATTACTTATAGTTTGTATTGATTGGTGAACTTAATATGACAGGCATCATGACGTTATGGTTGGTTTGGACCCCAAGTCTGATCACTGACTGGGTTTGTGTCATTGATGTACCTTTTGTGCCTTCTGAATGCTGCTCACAGATCATTTTTTAAAGTAACAGACAAGCCGTGACCTTCAAATAGTCGACTATTTTAAGTAAATTTTTTATTGTTGCAGTATAATTATTCGGCACTGAAGTAAGTTATTTGTACTCACCTTAGTATCACCTACTCGTCTTGTATTCGGTGCTGGTAAATCTGATCTAATCGTTGGGACTCCATAAGCCCTCCAGCCTTAAATTAAAAATAAATATTGTGTTTGCTAATCATGATCATTTGTTCTACCCATTTATTATCTTTGGAAGATACTACCAAACGTTATCAATTCTTGCAGCTGTAGTTTGTTTTAGGAAATTGTTTGAAACAGGTACCTGTCATAGTGTTTGCAGACAAGCTGCATTGGACTGTGCTGTATAAGCTCATGCAAGGGCAACAACATTTAATTTGTACTTCCACATGATTCAGCTTTTACATGTATTTGACAGTTAAAAATATATGTGTACAAAAACCACTCTGTGGCTGCTGTGCTTTAAAGGGGCATTAGGTAATTGGTTCATGAAAGGCACGGCGGTTAATGGTTAGCGCACTACACTCTGGATTGAGTGGTCTGGGTTTGAGCCCTGGCCAGGGTCACTGTGTTGTGTTCTTGGGCAAGACACTTTACTCTCACAGTGCCTCTCTTCACCCAGGTGTATACATGGGTACTGGCAAAATAATGCTGGGAGTAACCTGGGATGGACTAGCATCCCATCCAGGGGGGAGTAGAAATACTCCTAGTCGCTTCATGCTTCAGAAACCAGAGATAAGTGCCGGCCTGATGGGCCACTAGGCTTGTAAGCTTGCAGACTTTACCTTACCTTTTAGTAATTGGTTAATAATTATTAGATTATCTCTGACAAGTGTGAATGTCCTCAAAAAACGTGAGAATATTCTGCAGTCTGTTTTTCTTCTCGTGCTTGCTGTACCCATGTCTCTTCCCATTCCCCTTTAGTCTAAAGAGTCTTGCCTCATAACCCCTACTGAATTTTGATGCGAGAGAAAAACAGACTGCCAGCAGTCTATTGTATGGCATTCTACAAGAATTAATTACAAAGAAAGCGTTAGATGATACCTGATGTTCTGATCTTTCCAGTGACATCATTAAATTGAGATGATGAAGTTTTCCAGCCCCCTACTGCTTGGTCAATCTGTTTCTGGAGTCTTGTTGGTGTTGACTCGCCTGTCTTTTGCCCCTCCTCCTACAAAAACAATGGAATTTGTCACCTGAGCAAATCTGTTAATAATAAGTTAATTGTTGTCACTATGGTCTTTTATAAATTGTCAACTTCAAGAGGCCACATTTTTTTCTAACCTTCACTTCTCCCTCAGTTGTTTCACCCTGTTGTGTAGTTGTCACGGCACCCTTGATTGCTCCTGACGGCATCTTGTCTTTCCAGTTAAGGAAGTTAGCAAACTCATCATAGTTAATCTGGCCATCACCATCAACGTCACAGTAAGCAAACATGGACTCCAGGAGCTCGGGTTCCACAGGAAGGTTGAACTGGATGCACACTTCTCGCAATTCATCAAGTGAAATTTTCCCAGAATTATCCTGCAAGTTGGGTGACATTATCTAATAATTAGCCATTATGTCCCTATAAGTATTTAGCTGTAAGTGAAGTAATACTGAACAGAAGCATCTAATAAACAGAGAGCTTTTCAACTTGAGCATTGACTATTTAACAATTAGACCCGTAGCCCGCAAGGGCTACGGGTCAATAGCCCATGAGGCAAAGCCTCATGGGCTATTGACCCGTGGCCCTTGAGGGCGAAGGGTCTAATATTATTGTTTTAGTATCACCCAACTAGTCAGACAGAAAAGGTAATAATAAAGTTAGCAAATGCAGGTTGGAGAAATATTTATTTGGGAATAAAATGAAAGAAAGCGTCAAGCTCGATGGCGTCAATTTCGCTACTCGATGACTATTACTAATAGTCCCCTAGTAGCGTAGCCAATCAAAATGCAGGATTTGCATTAGTCCACTAGTTGGGTGATACTAATAAACTGTTATGCACATTTTGCCTCCTTAATTTGCTGAATTATTTTATCATACTTTTATATGCCTTAATTGTGACCCATCCTGCAAGATCAGCGAATTTCATTCAATCAAGGTTGTCCATGCAGTGCCTTTGAGAATTTCCACAAATGTTTTTGTACGAGGTATATTTTGTTGTATGATGGAAGTCAGGGGCATTCTTGGAAGCTCATGAAATTGGTAGTCTTGGAATAATATTTTATTCATTAATTCTCCCTTGAGTGTCATATTTTTATTTAGGATTTTGGTGTCTCTTTTCTACTAGTCCATGCCTTTTTTATGGTCATGACCTGTCTTTTCCACACCCTTTCAAAAAACCATCTTTACCTTGTCATAATATTGAAAAGCAGCTCTCAGATCATGGAAATTGTGGTAATTTGCTTGCTTCAAATGATGCCTCACAGCAGCTAACACTCCCCTCTCTCTGTCTTGACCTCGAAGGTACTTCCCAGGAACACGCATGTGGATTAAATCCCCTGCGCCATACTCGTCGGGTTTGACCATAACACCAAACGTATGATCTGGAGTGACTCTGAGTGTATCTTTGATGGGATCATGTACTTTGCCAAGTTGAGGCTGGGTTCTTTCTCGGAAGTCATCCACTCGCTTTGAGACAATCTTTGTTGCCTTTTCCCTGTAGGGAGAGATTTAAAGTAGTTGAAATTTCATTCAAAGTCAAATTTTATCTAAGATGTGGAAATGAATTAAGTTTCATACTTCTTTTTAAAAAAAAGATAACTCACTGTTGTGTCTCATGAAGCCACTTGAGTGTTTTTCTCACATGTATCCCATCGTTGTTATGTGGCGTTTCCACACCAAACTTGCTGTCTCTGGGTATTCTGCTCCAGTCGTACTTTCTATCAACCATTTCACCTGGGAAGATTAACAGTGGTGTTATGTTATTTGGGCAATGGACAACCCAGTGCAGAGATGCCAACCTTAAAAATGCCAAATCTGGGAGATTGCCAATTTTACCTTCTTGTTCCTGAAGTATGTTTTACATAGTGGAGCTCCACCAATTCAACCCCAAAAAAGTGTCATGACAGATAAAAAAATTCCCCCAAAACAACAAAGATTGGCAAAATGTAATTTGAAAATGAAAATGTATTAATTTGTATCTGAAAATACATTTTATTTGCTTTCCTTCTTATTGTCCAGGAGATTTGTTGACCTGTACAGGAGACTGGGAGATTTAGACTGTATCTGGAAGACTTCTTGGCACAGATGCTTCTGGGTACATAGTATTTTCAAAGAAATGAAGTTATAAATAGTCATTTCTAAACTTACCCACGTCAAAGTCATTGTGGCTAACTTTGTAAAGTTCTTTGCCTTCCAGTGACTCAGTGTTCACTTGTGCTGCAGTCTTACTTGGATTCACCATCTCCCCAGCACTTCCATCTACATGTGTAAAGATATTTAAAATGAACAAACAATTATTAACAATTATTATTTAGACCCACAGCATCAGTTGCTATAATTGAAGATGCTAGTGGAAAACCCTCCTAAGTGACTAGGTCAAAATTTTTTTTTTGTCAAAAGTGCCCAATTTTTTGCATATGGCCTTCAGTTTACCTACTTAACAATGCCTTGCTGTTTTTATCACCAGTTTGCTTTTCGTTTCCGAGAAAATCGAAGCCAAAATATTGAAGAGTCGTTGAATTATTAACAAATTCAACAGCAACTCCCTGATAACATCCTCATGAAGATCCTAAAGGATCCTTGAAAGATATTCACCTGGGTCATATCTCTTAAAAAATTCTGCTTGTTAATACAAGCCACTGATTGAATGCACTTGTTTATGTGTACTATATAGATGACTAATATTTTTTTTACCTTTGATAGTTTTGACTCCATACATGACATCAGTAGGTCCCACACCATTTGGCAGTCCTGGCCTTTGGTCGTGGCAACGCCCTATATAGATCATCAGAGCAAAAAATATCATAATTATATTTAAATGTTTGTTGAGTTTTCTTTAGATCTAAATAAATTGTCCAGCTCTTAGAATCCAGCTACAATTAGTCATGATGGGTATGATGAAAATAGTGACATTCTCGGAAACCCAGGGGCAGTTAGTTGGGATGGGAGGAAGTAAACTCAGGAAACTTTTGGCGCTTCAATTTTTGCTGAATTTATTGTCCCTGGGTCTCTGGAGATGAAATGGTGGTAAGAATTATTTAATTTTGTTACCTAAAGGGGCATTCTTCCTGCTTGCATAAAGGCCTTCCTTTTTATCAAGCATCCTTTGAGAGAATAAGCTTTTCCTGGTGGGATTCACAAGATCTCCGGCCTGTTATAGAAATCAGAGAAATTAGAATAAGTCTCACATTGATTGCATTAAAAATGTTATCTTGCATTGTTTACGCTTGCAGGAGCCACAGATCAAATGAAAAAATATACAATAATAAGTTTATAAACGCTGAAATGTTACAATCATTGAATTTTGTAACTTCAAAATTGTTTTGATTTAAACTATAGTTTTATTTCACCGAAAAAGTAGTCTCTTTTTATTGTGCAGTGCAAAGACAAAAGGCAATCGAGGTAAACAGCTGTTAAAAATTTGCATACGAATAAGTTCGCTAACTATAACACTCCGTTGGAAACATTGTCGCAGGATGTAACAAAACCTGAAACAATTACTTTCTAGTAACGATTTTACAAAGCGATCAATGCTAGAAATAATACAAGAAAGATTTTACAAACCAGAATTCAAATAAAATACGTACAACAAGTGAAGATTTCGTGTTGACTCCGTGAACGATTCGTGAAGCGATGTCGGGATCATTCGCTCTGCCATAAAATACTCTCTCTTTTGCTGCTTCGGGTTGCGTTGTTGCTCGAAACTTTCGCACTGTCTCTGGTTTGAGAGGCTAAAAGGGAAGATATAAATTTAAAAATAGAGTAAGTCTCACCGTAATCAAGCCTTTTACCTTTAATAAAGTAAATCACAAGTCACGAAGCTGTCGAGAGCAAGATAATTTTGCTTTCACCTACCCGTTGTGGTATTTGTAAGCAGTCTCCGGATGTTTCGCCGCTAACATTGAAAAGCTTTCCCGCCTGTGAAGGAATTAAAAGTTAAACTTTAACGTTTGAACCTTGTTATACGGTCTACAATGGCTTCCAAAAGTGTCTCCTATATCTCAGTGCTTGAGCAGAACGTGTGTGCATGTACATATGCGGAAGGCCAAATGATTTTGCAGGATTTTGAATCCTGTAGGGAGATCTGAGTTGTTTCATTTGCAAAATAAGCCATTGTAGTAAGAGAATTCAACATAGATTCTTAAATCTCCTAAGATGATATTCTTACCGGAACAATTCCAGGATTTCTGTCTATGAATCTCCCAGCGTTTGTCAACATGGCTCGATCGTTTCCCAGCCGGCTTCTTGTCTTGAATGAGTTTTCTTGAGAAGAGAAGTTTAAAACTTTTTCAAGACCCTGTAATCGAGGTTAGGAGCTTTCTTTCTTTCCTCCTGAGTTTAGAGATACTGTTTTTAAGCCGCAACTTTGGAGCAAGCTGTATTCTCTCAACAACTTTCAAGAGAAGTGAAGTAAATGAAACTTTCGGATAGTTTTTCTTGGCGTCCACTGTCTCCTAGCAACCAAGAAAACCTGTACTCCATCAAAATTACTTCCGGTCGGAATAACTTCCGGTACCAACCAAATTCATCCAAACTGAAAGTAGGGAAATAATCGGGAAACGACAAGCAAGGTGATTTCTTTTTTGAAATTAACCGTAATACCTTTGCTTAATTGTTGAGAAAGAGCTCTGCATATTTTATTTTCAAGTCTTTGCGATTGATTTTATTTTTTTGTAGAATTTTATACTTTCATCTTTTAAATTGTGTTTGAAATCTATTCTTTTATCAGATATTCGAACTTGTTGAAATTTGTCTGCTATTTGCATGAATCATGCGTTTGTCTCAGTACTTTTTTGTGTGCAATATTCCTGAGGTGAATAATTGCATGACATACAAAAACGAAAAGTGAGCGTGACTGTAAAATCGGTTGGGGGACTGGTTCAAACTTTACAGTGGCGCCATTTTGATTTTACTTGGGAGAGAAGGAGGGAGGCAGGTCGTAACCAAGTCAAGAGCATATAAAAAATCATGGCTAGAGTTCCCTTGTGTCGTCTCAAGAATGGTCTGGAAATCCGCCGGATTTTAAACGGAATGTGGCAAGTTTCGGGCAGTCACGGTGCGATTGATTCCAACAAGGCTTCTCGAGAAATGTTCAAATATTTTGACGCGGGTTTGACAACGTTCGATATGGCTGACATTTATGGCCCCGCGGAGGAAATCTTTGGCGATTTTTTAGAGCAGCTGAGGGAAGAACGAGGCGAGGAGTCTGCTAAAAAAGTGCAAGGCAAGTTTTAAATTGTAATATTTCTGTGAAGTTTGGAAAAGTACTGTGCTTTGTGCATTTTGAGGTTTATGTTGGCTTGTCGACGTATTCACCTGTTTGTAACTTTACAGTCAGCACGAAAAAGCTCATTTTTCGATCTTGAAAATTGTTCAATATCACTTTTTTATATAGCTTTGACCATTTCTTGAACAAACTGAGTCCGAAAAAATTATCAAGTTCATAGACCAAGCAAACATTATTTGCAAGAAAAAGTAGTGAAGTTCAAGATTTTTTATCCTAGTGTTGCTACCAGTATTAAACATTCTGTTAATTAAATTTGTCACTTTTGATTTAAAACACACCAAGGGGGAAATCCTCCGTTTCATCTCTATCAAATTAGATAAGTGTCATACAGTGATTCCAGTTTTTGCATTCATGATATAAACCAGTGGATGGCAGATGCTTCTTTTTATCATTTCACTTGAATTTTTAAATCAAGCGTTATTTTGCCAAAACTCTGCAGTAGTCTGCCAGTGAGGCTCTTTTTTCCATCTAACACATGCTGTGTTACTTGACCACTCTTTTCAAGTGTTTTCTATCCCCAATGCATGAAACATATCTGCTGAGATTTAAGATGAAAATGATTTCTCACTGATGGCTTGGACCCACAGAGGCCCATACATATGGGTTACTGACCAAGTGCGAGGTCAAGATGGCTGGATATTGACCAAGTTCTTTTTTGCCTGTTTATGGACCAAGCTTGTGGGTTTATGGACTGAGATGGAGTCAAGATCCATAAACAAAAACAACAAAAAAGGACAAGGCCAGTATTCAGCCATCTTGATTGAGCAAGCTAATGATTATTATTTTCCTTAGACTGTGAGCAGTCTTTTTTTTTCCTTGAAAATCCATGAGGAAGAATGCAAAACAAGTAAGCATGCAAAAGTAACTGCAAGCCACTGGTAGTGTGGGCATTGGAAGACTAGCGAAAAGAGAGACAGCAATGGTTTCATACAGCATTTTGGATGCTACTTTGACAGGTCACATCAATGCCACCTCCTCCCTTTTTTGATATGAGACTCCAGTGTCTAATTTTTTATAAGAATCGATCAAAGCTATATCTAGTAAGATGCAATGAATGGTTCAACAGATTGCAACTAACAACAGACCTATAACCACTCAAAAATTTTCATACTGCTCGTTCAAATGGCTCTACTCTACTTTAAAGTCCTCCTTATACCACAGTCCTTCAAAAACAACTGTGAAGCATAAAACCAATATGTGCAGGTCCAGAAAATATCCATACTCCCCCCACAGAAGGGATTGGAATTTCCTGGGGGGTGGGAGGTTCTGTAAGACCAAAAAATTTAAAGAAATGTGTGAAGCTTTACTGGAATTTCCAGAGGGGTGGGGGGTCTTAGAAAAAATCCCTTCCATGGGAGAGGTATGGGTATTTTCTTGAACTATAAATATAAAGGTCGCAAGATCGAAATTAAAATTAGAGCGGCAAATGTCATGAACTGCAGGAGTCACACCGTAGGAGACAAAAACAGAGTTTGGTGTGCACTGTATGTCACTTAAAAGGGCTACTGACAGATGTGCGTCTTAATTTCCTAGACTGACCAATAGAGTTACTCTGTCACCAGAGTGCGGGGCAATCAAAATGTTGTATAAAACCATTGCGGTCTCTCTTTTTGCTCGTCTTCCGATGCTCGCGCCACTAGTGACTCGCAGCATAGTTGTATAGAAGGTCCCCTCCTCCTGCCTCCCCAAAGAAGAATGAACTATTTATTATGGATTATGAGCTCAAGGTTTCTGTTGTATGGTAGTTGACATGGGGGCAGTGCAATACAATATCAAACATACATGTAGAAACTGAGAGCAAACCATCTAATTGTTTTCAATCTGACAGCACTATAGAACAATTTCACATTATTTACTGATTTTCATCAACAGCACTAACTAAATGGGTTCCTCAGCCAGGCCCGATAACTAGGGAAATTACCAAAGGACGTGTTCGTCTTGCCATGAAACGAATGGGTGTTGATAAGCTTGACATGCTGCAGTTCCACTGGTGGGATTACTCTGACAGCCGCTATCTTGACGCTCTTGCCTATCTTAGTGAACTACAACATGAAGGTTTGATTGGAGAACTCTCACTTACAAACTTTAACACCAGACATCTTAATGAAATCATCAAAAAAGGAATTAGTATCTCAAGTAATCAAGTTCAGTATTCTATCATTGATCGCCGTCCCGAACAGAAGATGATCAAGCTTTGCCGTGAGCATGGAATTAAACTCTTGGCTTATGGTACTTTGGGTGGTGGTCTCATATCTGACAGATATCTAAACAAGAAGGAGCCAGTTAAAAGGGCGGAGCTACATACGGCGTCCCTTGGAAAGTACAAGCAGATGATCGATGCATGGGGTAGCTGGGAGCTGTTTCAAGAACTTTTGTCTAACTTGTCTGAGATTGCACAGGCACATAACAGCACCATAGCTAATGTTGCTTGTCGATACATCTTAGACAAACCAGAAGTCGCTGGCATTATACTTGGGTGTAGGTTTGGTGTCCCTGGCGCTGAGCATATTGAAGAAAATTTGAAGCTTCTTGACCTGGAGCTTACTTCAGATGAAATCCAGAAACTTGAGCAAACTCTCAGCAAAGGAAATGACTTGTTTGAGACAACTGGAGATTGTGGTGATGAGTACAGATAGCGTGTTATTGGGGAATTTCTGTTGGCCTTTCCTTCAAGGTAAGGTAGTAGAGTAGAGCATTGAGGTGAATCCTTCGAGAATTAAGCTACAAGCTTTTAAGTGCAAGTATATGTAAAAAAAGTGAAGGTGTTAACAGCATTGACTTGTCTAATAAAATGCTCTCCTGAGAAAGCATCTGATATTTGCTGAGAATCTAAAGAAATTGACTGGGATTCAGGTGAATCACCAAAAAAGTCAACACCAAGAAAATAAATTTTGGAAAAGGGGGGAAATGCATTGTAGAATTTTTGAAACAACCTTCACCTCCACATTGGTATTGCTCTGCAAGCTGCTTGTATTAGTGTCAGTTGCTTCCCTCCTCCCCCTTCCTTTTACAAAACAAGCTTTGGGTGCTACCTTGGAACAGTTTTTCAACTGTTCATCCAGAGTGCACATTTTCAGAGGATAACACTGTCTTGTTTATAGGGCTGTTAATGTAGAATTTTGATCTTATTTAGGATGTTCATTGAATGTCTTTGTCTAGCAAACTATCTTAAATTAGATTTTGATAGATTTTATCACTTTTATGGTTTAGATAGGTCTGGTACAAAATTTTCAGTAGATCAATCATTTGGTGATTATGTGTTAATCATTGTTTATGTCAATACAGGTCTTATTTAGAATGGTATCTTTCAGGGTTCAAATAAAATTTGATCCACTCCCAGATTGTTCTCCCTTAGGGGTTTCATTCAAATTTTCAACAAGAGAAGGTTTGCTCCAGAGACTGAAGTGTTCACTAAAAGTGTCTACTTTAGAGTGTCACATGTCCACTTTAGAGAGATGCTTGCTTTAGAGATTGAGATGTCCACTTTAGACTTGTGTCTGTTCATTTAAGAGGTGTCTGCCTTAGAGAAAGAGGTGTCCACTTAAGAGACTGAGCTGCCTACTTTAAGAGTCTGAGATGTCTACTTTATAGACAGAGATGACCACTTTAGAGACTGGGGTGTTCACTTTAGAGACTGAGGTGTCTACTTTAGAGACTGAGGTGTCCACTTTAGAGACTGAGGTGCCCACTTTAGAGACAGAGGTGTCCACTCTAGAGATTGCAGTGTCCACTTTAGAGACTGAGGTATCCACTTTAGAGATTGAGATGTCCATTTTAGAGATTGAGATGTCCATTTTAGACACTGAGGTGTCCACTTTAGAGACTGAGTTGTCCACTTTAGACACTGAGGTGTCTACTTTATAGACAGAGGTGCCCACTTTAGAGACTGAGGTGTCCACTTTAGAGACTAAGCTGTCCACTTAAGAGACTGAAGTGTCCACTTTAGAGACTG